AGGAGAATAATGCTGTGGAGTAAAAAAAAAATGCAGCCTCTTTATAGAAGATAAAAATTGAGGACTGGTAGCTAGGCTATTCCTTGGCCTTAGACTTCTAACTTTTCTATCTTCTCACCTCCCAACATGAGGTACTCAATCCTACTAAAAAAAAAAAAACCATGGTAAAATTCTCAAATTCATGCTTATTTGAAAACTGGATATTCATCAGCTACCAAAACAAATTTGCCTGCACATTGAGCCAGCTGTCAACAATCTACCAAGCAGTGAAGGAACATCATGAAGGTTTTGCATTTCAAAATCCACCAAATTGTATATACAAAAGAAAGAATACCACTGTAGCTTGGTCCAGAAAACTCTTCTTTTCACCCTCATCCAAAGATCTGGCAACCATCATTCCACTCTGCTTCTGTGAGTTTGATTATTTTAAATACTGCATATAAGAGGAATCATGTAGCACTTGTGACTGTCTTGTTCTACCTGGTATTGTATATTTTCAACACACACACAAAAAAATACTTTTCAGCATTCTTGTAAGTGCAGCTGTGAGGTTAATTCAGAACATAGCCCCTCCACATATTCAGAAGACAGATGAGTGCTTGGTCAGCGGTCATAAGGAAGGCAGTATACAAACGACTCTTGGCAATGCCTGCTCCCAAGGACATCATCTGCTACTCTTCTGGACCTTATCTGCTCCTATAACCAGCTTCTGTAACCAAGCAGCACATCTTGCTCTATTCCACCTGAGAAGGCCACTGTTCTGCTGTTCCCATGGACATTATCTGCTCCTGTAACCCAGGAGCACATCTCACTCCCATCCACAGGTGAATAGAAAGGCGACTGCTCCCCCAGTAAGATAATCCTTCCCTCTACCTGTGTGTATAATATGTTGCTTGCTCTTGGCCAGCATCAGTTTCTTCTTGCAGCTCCTACTGGCTACCATTGGAGTTCTCCTCCCTCGTGAGTAATAGATGGAGTGTCCCACTCCTTTGGTCCTCCTGGTAGTTTTTTCGGAATATCCCAGGTGCAGGTTCCTCACCTAGAGCTCCTGTGTTACAGCAGCTCTACTGGAAATAATTTACCTGTTTCTTCTGTATAAAAATATCTTATTTTGCCTTCATAATTGATGGATATTTTTGCTAAATAAAGAATTTAGATTGAAGGTTTTTCATTATTATCCCTTTCAGCATTATAAGGATGTCATTCCCTTTTATTCACACTGGTGAGTTTTTTTGCTTTTCAGTCCACTTCAGCTTTCTGGATCCTAGGAGATTTTTCTATCTTCCTAGACTGTCTCGATTTTTGGAGATATGCATCATGTGTAGATTTGAAATAGTTTGAAAGTTTCTCTCAATTCTCTGCCCCATTTCTCATCCTTCCATAATTGAAAGTTCGAAATGTATTCAGAGGACATTTGACTTATATTAGGGCCAATATCTGTTCCTTCTCCAAAGCTTTGATATACTACCCCAAGTTCCTGGTCTGAACTTGTTGGAAGGAGTGTTAGTGAAAATTTACTTTGACTGAAAAAATGGAATTTCAATCTGTCACAAAAGCCCTTATGCAGCCTCTACAAGTTCATTAACATTTTGACTGGGTTTTTTTTTTTTTTTCAGCTATTTATTTTTATTTTTTATTAAAAATTATAGGGTGACATTGATTCACAAAATCAAAGTTTAAAGTGTATTATTCAATAGAAAGTCGTATATATATTGCATTGTGTGTTAACACCCAGAGTTAGATTTTTCTTCTATCACCAAATATTTGACCACTTTTACTCTATCTACCTTCCCCACCTCTCTTCCCTCTGGTAACCACTAATTCACTATCCCTATCCATGAGTCTCTGTTTGTTTGTTGTTTTCAGTTTTATATCTCATGTATGAGTGATAGCATGTGATTTTCAACTTTTTCTGTCTGGATTATTTCACTTAGCATGATTATCTCAAGATTCATTCTTGTCGCAAATGGCAGTACTTTATCTTTCCTTATGGCTGAGTAGTATTCCGTTGCATATGTGTACCACATCTTCTTTATCCAATCATCTATCATAGGACATTTTGGTGCTTCCACATCCTGGCCATTGTGATTAATGCTGAAATGAACATCGAAGTGCATATATCTGCACATAAATGTTCTCAGGTTTTGGGGGTAAATAACCAGAAGAGGGATTGTTGGATCATATGATAATTCAATTTTTAGTTTTTTGAAGAAACTTCATACTGTTTTCCATAGTGGTTGTATCAATTTGCATTCCAACCAGCAGTGTATAAGGGTTCCTTTTTCC